GTGCGTTTTGAGTTCCCGTTCTCCTGCTCCGGAGAGCGCGAGCGCTGGCGCTCCAGGGTGGGATGAGGAGGCCGAGGTGTGGAATCTCCCGGCCTTGGGTTGGCACATCCACTGGTTTCCCTGAAACCAAAGGTTTTCCAGGGATTTCGGATTCTATCCCTGGGAGCTTTGTGCTCTCCCTTCCCTGCCCTGAATATCCCGGAGGGAATTCTTGCCGCGTAACCTGCGGCTGCTCCGTGGTCTCCGGGGTGTTGTGAGAGCTTTGGAATCGCTGCAGGAAAAATCCTGTTCCCAGGGGTGTTGTCCAGGGATTCCTTGCTCCAGGAGAGCCACATTTATCCCGGTGCTGTCCCAGGTTTATCCAGGGAGAGCCGGAGTGGCCAGTGCTGCATGAGCGAGGCTGGACTGGCTGGATAAGGATGTCACAGCCCTGTGCTGGCACCAGGCTCTCCTGAATCCCACTGGGAATTCCTGGAGCAGGGACAGTGCAGCAGGAGTGGCACTGGCAGGAATGGCAGCTCCTGTCTGGAATGTCTCTGCAGGGCAACCGGGAGGAGGCGGATAATCCCAACACCGGGATCGGGGCGTTCCGCTTCATGCTGGAGTCCAACAAGGGAAAATCCATGCTGGAGTTCCAGGTACTGTTCCCAGTTTTTCCCTGGCTCTGCTCTAGGGTTTGGATCCAGCTTTGGAACGTGGCTGTGTTTGGGATTCCGTACTTTTCCCGAAGCCAACCCCTCTCCTGGCTCCTTTCCCTGGAATGGGAGGGGCTGAGGTGTTTCTCTTCAGGGTCCTGTTTACACACAGAGACTTTGGGATGGATATTCCCAGCTCCAGCTGGCTTTGGGAAGCCTGACAGGTCCCAGTTTTTAAGCAGAATCTGTGTGTCCTAGAGGGAGAAATGGCTGGAAAACCTGGAATTGTCCCCGGTGCTGTCAGTGTTTCAGCTTGGAGAGGCTTATCCTGGACTCCCCAGGGCCCAGGGGGCGTTGGAGGCTCCACCTCCATCGTAATCCAGATTAATCAGGGAATTTTGCCCCGGTGTCCTGCTCCTGGTGGTGCCTTGAGCTCAATCCACATCCCGGGAAGCTGCCCCACCTCTGGAAGTGCCCCAGGCCGGGTTGGACGGGGCCACCTGGGCGGCTGTTCCGTGTCCCTCCCTTGCTCCCGATGATCCATAAGGTCCCTCTCCCACCCCGCCCCATCCCACCATTCCACGATCCCGCTCCCATCCTGCCTCCCCCTTTCCCCTTCCCAGGAGCTGATGACGGTTTTCCAGCTGCTGCACTGGAACGGGAGCCTGAAGGCCATGCGGGAGCGGCAGTGCTCGCGCCAGGTGAGTCCGGAGCCGCTCCGGGAACGCCATCCCGCCGCTCCTTGCCGGCCCCCATCCCACCCCCGCGTCCCATTCCCACCAGGAAGTCCTGGCTCACTATTCCCACCGCGCCCTGGACGACGACATCCGCAACCAGATGGCCCTGGACTGGGTGAACCGGGAGCAGAGCGTCCCGGGCGCCCTTTCCCGGGAGCTGGCGGCCACGGAGCGGGAGCTGGACGAGGCCCGGCTGGCCGGGAAGGAGCTGCGCTTCCACAAGGAGAAGAAGGACATCCTGCTGCTGGCGGCCGGCCAGCTGGGATCCGGCCACTCCGCCGGCTGCTGAATCCCGGGATCCGGCCCCGGGATCCCTTCCGGAGCTCCCGGCCCCCCTTCCCGTTTGCACATTGGAAAGAAACGTAGGGAAAAAGCTCCCGGGTGGATTTTAACCGCTTCCTCCCGGTTTTTGGAGGTGCTCCTCGGTCTCCTCGCTCCCTAGAGAATCTCTTATTCCCTTCGAGAACTACTCGTTCCCTATGGATCTCCTTATTCCCCAGGGAATTCTTTGTTCCCTACAGGATTCTTTCTGTCCCTTGTTTTTGGGGTTAAAAACGCAGGTTTTGGCCCCTCCGCTCTCCATCAGTACTGGAGCGGGCAGGATTCCGTGGGATCCAGCTTTTCCTCTGGAGAAGCGCTTTGGATCTGATGCTTGGCACTCCCTCCCTCCTAGAGCAGAAAGGGATCAGTTGGTGAGCTCCTTAATTAAATCCCAAAGGATCGTGACGTGCTGTATCCAAAGGGATTGAAAACTGGGATTTGGGATTAAATCTGGGATCAGCCCGCAGCATCCCAGCCCTGAGCAGTTCCCCCTGGAACTGTCCTCTCTGTGGCCAAACATCAGCCTTGGCTTTTCCATGGAAGGTTGGAAAAGCCTTGGAAGAGTTTGGGAATGAGGGCGGGATCTGCACTAATCATTCCCTTCCCCTTGTATCCATATCCATGTGGAACTTAAATGATATTTAGCTTTACAAAACCTTTTTATGGCATGGGATTGTTCAAACAGCTCCCAAGGAAATGGCATTTTACCCCTGGAAATTCTCACCTCACTCCCCCTTTCTCCACCAGACCAGGAATACAAACAAAATTCCAAGCCAGAATTCCTTTTTCACGCCAGCTTGGAGCTTTTCCCACTTCTTATCCCCACGAACCCTTCGGGGTGCCATTATTCCCACCCTCTCACCCCTTCCTCCCTCTGCCTGAGTGCAGGATATTCCAGCAATAATTGTTTTGGGATAAGATTGGAATAATTCCATGATCCATAGGTATCCTGCTTTTATATCCACATCCTGACGAGCCTGTTTTGGGGGTTCTATATTTTTTATACTTTCACAACACTATTAAACGTTTGATGTCGCTGGAAATGGGATTAAAAAGGCCTGGGGGGTGGGTGGGGGAGTGTTCTTGAAATGTTGGAAAAATCCAGACCTGGAACTTGGATTTAGGGATCACGTGGAGTTAATCCTGTGATTTATTCCCCCGATTCCCCACATGAGGGAATTCCTGAAGCTCCTCAGAAGGTGCTAAAACGAACAAATCCAGGTTTCCTCAGTATGGAAAGGGGGTTGTGCTCCCTGTTGAAACGATGGAATGATGCGGATCNTGACTTTGGTGCTTTTGTTCATTCTCTGCGGCCGAGTCGTGCCCAACCTCCACATTAAACCAGAAATGTTGTTCTCTGAAAGTTGCCATTTTTGGCTGGTTTTCCTCTTAAACCTGTAATTAGTTTGGCATCCTAAAATAAGGGTGAAGGAAGCAAAGAAGAGCTGGAGGAAGTCAACCAAATGAATCGTGCACTTCAAAAGGCACAGTTCAGTAGGATTTGCTTTGCTGAGGATTAAATTCAATTAAAAAAAAATGGTTTAGTGGAGAATAATACCAAGTTATCTTTCAATTAGTGATAGATGTGGTGGGTAAAGGCAATCAGAGGAGGGTCAGAGGTCAAAATTAATCGAAGGATGAACCCACGAGACTGAAGGAAAATGACCCTCRRTGTGATGAAACCTGCCACAAAAGAGGCACTAAATGGCATTTATGCTCCAAAAAAGAGCAGCCGGGTGAAATTTTAGTGTAGGCTCCTGTCGTAATAAGGAGGATGGTTTTTGGGGAGGCAACTTAGAGCATTGTGACGGATAAACACCCGAAGAAACCGTATTTCGGGGAGCATGGCTGGCGAGTGATTCCCCACGGTCCCGTCAGGAGGAATTAAAGGAATATTTCATCCAAAGGACACTTTGGGTGTGATTTTTTGGTTTCAGACGCTCCCACCACAGACCCTCCCCAACATGGCGGCGTTTCC